TCGAATTCCCTTTCCAACTTATCCATGTATACATTTGCCAAAAGAGGTGAGAGTGGAGATCCCATCGGTACTCCAAATATTTGCTCATAGATAATGCTGTTGAATGTAAAATATGTTGACCAATTCTTCACCAAAGCAACATGCTACCATTGTTCCCAAAAAATGAAGTTGCATCAAAAATGCTGTTCGCTACTGCAAATCTGCTTATAAGCTACTTTTATCTGTTGTTTTTTTGCAATCATAATTTTATCTCAATTTTCCTTTAATCTTAATGCTTTTTTAACTCTGGCTATTCGTCTTTTCGTTTTCTTAGGTCAGTGCTGCAGCCCGTCAACGTGTACTGGCTGTTGCAGGTGCCCTAGTTAAACGGGCTAGCCTAGCACAAGCTGAGACTACCGCAGCTCACTGGCGGCAGCTACAATTGGAATCTGTGGCTGACCAAGATCAGATGGGGATCCATCATGCTATGAGCAGGCTACTGGATCGAGATAATTCTACTTGGACTGGCAGCACTAATACTTACCGACGACCAGTCCCACCAGTACTGTCGAGTCCGCCTGAAGATGCAGGCCCACCTTGTGACTTAGTTCTGCGTCTGCTTAGTCGCATAGAGGCCCTTGTCCTGGAGCGCCCACTTCACCCGTCTGGTACAGAGTCGACCTCTGCGACTACAGCTTACAGTAACATGGAAGCTCGTCGCCTACTTGGCTTCTGTCTCTTGATGGCTCTATTGGATGAACTCGGCGACACTGCGGACAGCATTGAAATAAAGGCTCCTCTAGAGGCGCATGTCTTCATGAGGGCACGCTTTCAGGTATATTTTTTGCTTTTTTCTATTTTCTTATCATTGCTGTTGTTGCTCAGAGGCTTCATATTTTTTTATATTGAGTTACACTGTGATAACCACTCTACTATATTTACTTAAAAAAGATTTCCGAGACTACTTGCAAATAAGATATATGAGTTGTGTTCAACATATTTTGTTTAAGGCGATGAATGAGTGGTAGTTGAATGTTTCCACAATAAAGCGTCAGCACTATTCATATCAGTATGAGAAACTTCAACTACTAGTTCTTCATCACCTTAAACGAAATAGGTCAACACAACTTACTTAAAGAATATGAGGATTGGTTTTATATTCACATTTACTGTTTCGTGCTTACTGGATTGATGCCCAATTTTCGGCCTCGTTATTGCTCATCACGACTCATCTTTATTCGAACAATGGGTATGTTGATTCTGAGGCCAACGCAACACCCTTTAGGCCACTGGATCTTTGCATCATTCGAATCCACCCAGGGTTGACGGGTTTTGGGTTGGTATAGTGATTTTTAGTGTAAAATTA